GGCTTTTAGTCATGCCGGCCACATGACCACGGAAACGTCTTCGGACAGCGCTGGCTCTTTGGCTTGGAAACGGAGATGAGCACCACAACCCTAGAGTCGGACTCGACTGGCTTTCGAGCAAGGGAGACCTTTACCTTTACAAGGAAGAGAGGCCTTCTATATAACAGGCCTTCATTACATCCCAATGAACTGTTGTTTAAGAATAAATCTATAAAAAACAGAGAGATATGAATAATCAAAAAAGGGGGAAATCTTTATAGTCCCATCTCTACTACATCGTTCCGTCAGGGTCAATATTGTCTACTCAGATTGGCAGCAGCTCCCCAGTGTCTGGAGCAGAGGTCTTTCATATGACCTACTGCTCGAAACTTTTGTCTGGGGCATGAACCAGGAACCTTCTGCATGTCAAAAGCAGATGCTTTATCACTGAACCACAACCCTTCCCCTAAAGCAGGGCTTCATGCCTGGACACACCACCTGAAGCGGCCTTCTACTGGATCAGACCCCTGGTCCATCAAGGTCAGCGCCATCTCAGCCTGGAAGCAGCGCCCCGGGTCCTTTTAACGGGAGATGCTGCCGGGGATTGAACCTGGGACCCTCAAAATGCCAAGCAGAGGCTCTCCCACTGAGCCACAACCCCCCCCCCCCCAGTAAAATAAAAAGGACTGAGATTTTCGAGGTAGAATTGATTGAGATGATGGTGTCATGGTAAAGTGTAGGTACCCTCTGAGCAAGTCCCTGGAGAAGGCTTTTCAGTTTGTTTGCAACCGGTGTGCATGACACACAAAGGTCTCTTCACCTGGGGCCTTTTTTGTTTGCAAGATATACAGGAGTTTTGTTTGAGAGTGAAGTTTCTGAAACCCTCAATGCATGATCACCTTTTAATTGTCTTTGTGGTTTCGTCTCTCCTCTGTGCAGATTTCGGTCAATGAAGCCAAGTTTGAAATCCAAAGGAATAACAGAAGAGTCCATTAATATAAGGTAAATACTGGAAAACATATGTAGATGAAAGCTGTTTATTCCTGTGGCCATCACTACGTCCTCTGGCTGCAAATTCCTCTTTTGAATTGCTCTCTGTGTAAAGTTGTGTTTCCTTTGGTCTGTCTGGAGTTAGCTATGAAAAGGGTTCCACATTGACCTGTGGAAAAATGCTTCCGAGGATGTTGCTATCAACAGGTTCACCTGAGACCAGGGGGGCCCAACTTTTTTGAGCCTGCCGGCGCCTTTGGGATTCTGAGACGGGGTGGTGGGCAGAGTTGCAACATGTCTGCCACGGGACACACACACACAAACACACACACACACACACACACACACACACACATGAAGCTCACATGCAGGGGACAAGAGAAATAATTTTAAGAAACAAGTTGGGAACAAGGAGTGAGAGAAGGAAACCAGCCCTGTGGGCCAGCTGCCTCTGAAACAAGGCTGTTCTAATCGGCACAGCCCGTCAGATCTCCAGCGGCCAATCAGAGCCCTGCTGGGGAGCAGCCCCACCTGGCCCCTCCCCCTTTGTGAAATGGTTGTCAGGGAAGGTGCTGGCGGCCGCCTCGGGTGGTGCCCGGGGGCACTGTGTCGCGGTCCCCTGGCGGGGGTCTGTGGGCCCCTTTCAGTGTTCCCTCTAAGCTGAGTGAGTGTGAGCTAGCTCACAGTTTTTTAGCCTCTGGCTCACACATTTCTGTCTTAGCTCAGGAAGGACGGGGCTCCAGAGCAAACTAATTTATGCAGTAGCCAAATCACTTGCTCACAATTTTAATGCCAGCAGCTCACAAAGTTGAATTTTTGCCCACAAGACTCCACAGCTTAGGGGGAACTTTGGAATCCTGGCATGCTGTGGTGGGCACAGCGACAAAATGGCTGCCGCCGCCGCAGCTATCCCTCAGCCACACCGTGAAGGTCCTTGGGCTGGGGGGGGGGGTGGCAGCTACCGCCAGAGCCATGTTTTGTTTAAAAAAAGCTGAACAAATAAAACAAATCTGAAGTAGCCAGTCAGAAGCCCTGCTGGACTAAAGCCCCACCTGGGCCTGCCATTTCCCAAAAACACTTGGGGGGGCAGGAAAAGCGTCACTGGGTGCCCGGGGCCCCTACGGGCAATGCGTCAGAGGGCCCTTGATCTAGCGTGTTGGGGAGGCGTCTTTCCCGTGATGGTATCCTGAACGCAGGCTCAGTCGTTTCCCCATTTGAGCTTCCACCGGCCCAGACGTGGGCTTCCCTCGTCAGCGAGGATTCGGCATACATTGTATTGGCTCACTTAGTCCTCCGTGTGCCGCTTTTCCTCAGAGCCCAAAAGTGGTTCACAGGCAAGAGCTCCTGCTAGGGCTGCCGACTCCGGAAGCTCCTGGAGGTCTGAGGGTAGAGCCTGGGTTCGGGGTGGGCTGCGGGCCTCAGCAGGGGGCACAGAGTGCCAGGAAGTCCTCCCGCCAGAGCAGCCATTTCCTCCAGGGGGACCGGTCTCTGCCACCCGGAGATCAGTTGTCATGCCGGTAGATCTCCAGGCCCCGCCTGGAGGCTGGCAACCCTGTCCCTCCCACCCTGCCATGCCGTGATGAGGGCACTGGCGGAAACAGGAGGGGGATGCAGGGCTCAACCGGTAGCAGGAGCTCCTTTGCATATTAGGCCACACACCCCTAGTGTAGCCAATCCTCCAAGAGCTTACAGTAGCCCCAGTAAGAAGAGCTCTGTAAGCTCTTGGAGGATTGGCTACACTAGGGGTGTGTGGCCTAATATGCAAAGGAGCTCCTGCTACCAGTAGAGCCCTGGGATGGGTGAGAAGGGAACGCCAGCTTGCCGGCGGCAGATCGGAGCCCCGAAGATTGGGGGGGGGTCCCTTGGTGAGGCCCTGTGAAGGTTCCGGAGGCCGGAGCGGAACGGAGGCAGTTTGCCCCTTGCCTGCCTCTGCGGAGCGGCCCTGGGCTTCCTGGGTGAGGTCTCCCATCCAACGACTCACCAGGGCCGACCCTGCTGAGCTTCGGGGGTCTGACAAGACCGGGCTGGTCTGGGCTTTCCAGTTCAGGGCACATTCTTCTTTTGCACTCCCCCCCCCACATGAAATGAGGACTCCCGATGGGGCCGAGCCACACTTAGCCCCGCCCGCAGGCTGCCAGTCCTAAGAGGGCACACAGCGTGGCGCTGGCTTGCAATGTTCCCTCTAAGCTGTGGAGAATCTTGTGTGAGCAGAAATTCTACTTTGTGAGCTACCGGCATTAAAGCTGTGAGCGAGTGACTTGGCTGCTGCATAAATTAGCTTGCTCTGGAGCCCCATCCCTTCCTGAGCTAAGGCAAAAATGTGTGAGCTGGAAGCTAAAAAACTATGAGCTGGCTCACACTCACTCAGCTTAGAGGGAACACTGCTTGGGAGCATGATCATTCCACGTGGTGTCACCTCAAAGGCCGCGGTCACACGGACCTCTTACCATGCTAGTTTTCCCGCAGTTCTTCTATCTGCGACATTTTATATCGCTTGGAGATGGTCAGACGGTCCCTCTGTCTTCCGCTTCACTCGCGCGAAGTACTGATCACACAGCGCGCCGTCCCTGCGGCGGTGCGGGTTTAAAGAAATATATATTAAAAACACCTGCGCATGCGCTTGGGCGTACATACAAACTAAGAAGTCCAAAATAAAAGCTAGCGCCTGTTTGCACATGCGCATAACTTAAACCGGAAACAAAAAAAGGGGGGGTAGCGTGGTCACGGCGGATTGCTGTCCAGATGCCAAAACCGTGGATACAAAGCATGAGATATCGGAAAACACCTGTTCCAACTGGTGTCAGAAAATGTGGATAAAAAGAGCGGAAACCACGGACTCAGCCCGCTTCGGTGCGGGAGGCAGGTTTGCCAATATGAACAGGAAACTTTAATGCGCAAGGGATCAGCAGCGAAGCCCGCACTAAATGTCTGTGTGACCTGACCCAAAGATAGAGAGCAGGGGATTCAAGAGTCTGTGCAACCAAGGTGGAAAGGGCGGGGGGAGAGTTAGCATTATTTGCCTCCCAAAGTAGGGAGGGGGGGACACACACACAACTCAGAAACTGGCATGGCAGGTGAGGAGAAGGCTGCACAGAAATTGGGGTTTCCAGCATCACAGATACGGCCCCCTTTTATTTACCTTTGCCATTTAAACTTAAGTCTGTGCAACCCGGATAGTCCAGACTGTTTCAAAAAGCAAATTCACGAATTCGAGCTATAACGTATTCCTTAAAGAGAGACTCACAAGAGAACGAAGAGGCCCTCCCGTCATTCATAATGGATGCCGGCCCTTCTTTCGGCCTCCAAACAGACAACTGTGGAGCTGCCGGGGTGGGGGGCAGGGAATCCCTCGCCCTTAATGTTTGTGTGGCATTTCGGGGGTGTGTGTGTGTCCGCCGGCTCCTTCTGTGTGCTGACGCAGCCTTGCTTCTCTTGCCAGGGGACAATGGAAGGTGCGTCTGGGAGGCTGTAGATCAAGGCCTCCTCCGGCAACGTCATACATTTGTGCTGGCGCAACAACAACATCCCCGTCACGCCCCACTGCAAGCGTTGCAGGCAGGCATGGTCCTCGTTCAGATGGATGGGTAGCCCGCACACGCAGCGGGCACACCCGCACACACTGAGGCACATGCCAAGCTCTGGGCTCAGGTGTGTCAGAGGCTGATGAACGGGGCAGGTGTTCCCTGGGCGGAGAGTTCCCTTCTCTCCTAGCCTCCTGGGTGCCGCCCTGGGCTGAAAGGAAGGCTGCCAGAACCAGCAGTCTTGCTGATTCTGAGAGAGGACCTATCTCAGAATCCCCCCACCCCTTTCTGCTTTTGCATCGCCACTCCTCAGCATGGATTCACATGCGGGGGCAGAGTTTGATTCGCCAGGTGGACGCGAGAGGCCCGTGAGAGTCAGTTCCGCTTTCAGCGCCCGGAGCTCCACTGTCCGGGAGCCATTTTATTGCTTGCGATAGTTTACAAGGACCGGATGCGAAAGCCCCGTGCCCCCTCCCCCCCCCCGGCCACCCTTGCTCGGACCAGGCGGCTTCATCTCCACTCTGCTTGGTTTTCCTTCGCTAGCGAGTTGGGGGTCAGGAGGTTGGAGAAGTCGGGCTTCCGGAGCGGGGCGGGCACCGTGTTCTTCAGCTTGTTGAGCTTGTCGCGCTCCTCCTGGCACTTCCTCAGGCACGGGAAGCAGAGGTCTTTCTCGTCCACCAAGTACAGGCTCTCCAGGCGCTTGATGCTGTCGATGAACTGCTCCTCTTCCGTGGGCCCCGGGAAGGGGTTCCTCTTGGCGTTGAGCTTCTTCAGCTTGGGCAGCTTCTTGATGCTGTTTGGGATGATGGTGAGCAGGTTGTCGAAGACGCCGACCTCCACGAGCTCTTTGAGAGCCCCCAGAGTGGTGGGGAGGTTGTCGATGTGGTTGAGGCCCAGGTTGAGGTTCCGGAGGTTCTTGAGCTGGTTCAGCTCCATCGGCAGGCTCCGGGCCGTGAGCTTGTTGTTGCAGAGGTTCAGGAAGACGAGGGTCTGCAGGTTGCCGATGGTTTCAGGCAGCCTTTCAATCTGGTTGCTGTGCAAGTCCAGCCAGCGGAGGTTCTCGAACTTCTCGATGGAGTCCGGGATCCTCTTGAGCATGTTCCGGCTGAGGTCCAGCTCGTCCACGTCCGCCAGCTTGAGGATGCACCTGGGGAAAGTGGTGATGCCCATTTTGCTGAGGTCGAGGCGGCGCTTGCCGTCAAAGGTGATCTTGATGCAGTTCTTGGCCACTTTCAAGGTGACCTTTTTCCCTTTGGGGTTCTTTCCCTTGGCCATGCCGCGGGAAGAGAGTGCCGTGCAAAAGGAACAGGCGGAGGGGAACGGTCTTTGGATGCAGTCCCTGTTAGACTGGCTGCCGCTGCTGCTGCTTTAACACAGGGCCTGCATTTCAAACACAAACATAGCCGTTAGTCTCTTTACAGGTGACCCTAGGAAAGGACGGGCAAGAGCAGTCGGAAAGACACGCGTGTCAAAGAGGCAAGCACCGCTGGCCTCTTCTGCACTGACGGCTCTCTGCGGCTTCCTCCGGGGGATCCGAGCCGTCGAGCCTTTAAGGTTCGCTTCGGATCTTGTGTCCCTGCCCCTCTGCACTGCTCCCTTTTCTCCGGTTTATTTCTGTGCATGCCTTCCGCATCTACAACCAAACCCCGCGGTTTTTTGCCTAATTGTGGTTAACGTCACTTCAGACCGGTGGAGGGGGCGACCAATTGGCACCGACTTGGCCAAGTGCATGAGCAAGGCGATGGGGCACACGGCACCCTCCCCCCTCTCTCCTCTCCTCTCCTCCCCGCTCTCCCACCCCCTCTGGCTAGCTGCAGCTGGGCTGCTCCACTCATAGAGGGCCGCCAGCTCAGCAGCTGGCTGGTTGGCTGGTCTGTTGGGAGGGGAGGCGTCCCAAGGGTTCTAAGGTGTTTTTTTTCTCCCCTTGTTTCCAGTGGGCAGTCCTGTCATTCCTTTTAATACATCCCCTTCCAAGTCGTGTGCAGATTGGCTTTAGGGAAGGGCAGGGGTCATTTCGTAGAAAAAGAGGTGCAGGAGCTCATTCGCATAACTCATTAGCATGACTTATTTGCATAGGCCACACCCCCTGACATCACTGGAAGTGTGTCAGAAGGCAACACCCACCGCTCAGGCTCCACTGGACTGTTTTGGATTGCTAGCTATGGGGGGGGGGCGTGCAGATCTGCCCTCATAGAGGAGGGAGAGCTTGTACCTGAATAAAACTTGGTCTTAAAGGTGCCACTGGACTGTTTGGGGCCGGGGGGCCGGGGGGAGCTCTGCAACTTACCTGGCTGCTTCTTGCTCTGACTGAGGGCTGCTGGGAGCAGGGGGTGGGGCTTGTTGCATGTGCCCGCCCCCTGGGCTCTTTACTGCCGGAGCTCCGCTCCTGTGCGCTCCCGCAGGAAATGACCCCTGCTTCTTCCACTCAGAAGTTATGTCAGTCTTCTCTAGGAACCACCAGAAATTCTATGGTAAAACCACGGCATTCCCAGTGATTCCTAGAAATGACTGACGTCACTTCTGGTTTTAACCCAGAAGTCTCATCGTGCTGTCGACGGACTACCTTTCCCCCCCTCCTGCCACCTTTCTGAGCAGCAGCAGGACATGGGAACCTGGGGCGGGAGGCGGGAACCCTCCCACCGCTGGCGTGGCGGCCCTATGCAGAAGTCCAGCCAAGGCTGAAAGATCAGGGATGCTCTCGGCCGCTCCTGCACTCAGCAGGGAGTTGGACTGGATGGCCGGCACGGCCCCTCCCAACTCCGCCTTCAAAGGTTCATCCAGGGACCCTTGACCTCCCTGGTTGACTCAGGGCAGCCCATTCTTTGAAATACACCTAATCCCGGGTGGGCTGGCGAAAAGGGGACAGGCTCCTTTTCCCGAGATAAGTTTGCGGTGGTCAGGAGCTGCTGGGGGTGGGGTGGGGGGTGGGATGGGCTAGGGTTCCAGTCGGCTGATCCCCAGCTGATCCCCCCAGCCCCAGCGTCTAATTGTGGGGAGTGGAATGATGCTGTGATGAATGATTGTTTGGAGAAGAATATGGATTTGTCTGTAACACACTTCTCCATTAAGATGGGTTTCATTACAAGCCCTTCAGGCTTTTGGGGGCTACTCATTAATCATGTGCAAGTACGTGGAGGCGGGGGCCAGACAGAAGATAATGCGTTTCAGCTCGTTTCAGTGACATTCCCCGAGCCTTTCACAACGTCTGTGGGCTCCTTCGCCCAACGCACAGCTCCCTCCAGCGTGCCGCGATCCTGGGCGGGAGGTGAAGGGCGGCACAGAGCCCCTCATGCGGAGTGGAAGAAGCATCTATGCGGCAGGGTGCGAGCTTTCACAAGTCACTGCTCCCTCCTTCCGCAGGGACGCACGCGAGCTCATACCCCGCCACCACGTACTCTGTGAGACTTGAAGGTGCTCCTGGACTATTGCTCTTTTCTACTGCTAAAGGTAAAGGCAAAGGCCTCCCTTGCTCGAAAGCCAGTCGAGTCCGACTCTAGGGTTGCGGTGCTCATCTCCATTTCCAAGCCGAAGAGCCAGCGCTGTCCGAAGACGTTTCCGTGGTCATGTGGCCGGCATGACTAAACACCAAGGCACACGGAACGCTGTTACCTTCCCACCGAAGTGGTACCTATTTATCTACTTGCAATTTCTTGCTTTCGAACTGCTAGGTTGGCAGGAGCTGGAAGTAGAGACGGGAGCTCAGTCCGTCATGCGGCACACTCGGGTATCGAACTGCTGAACTACTGACCTTCCATAGCCTGCAGTTCAGCATCTTAACCACTTGAGCCACCGCAGCTTTCAAGCAAGGGAACCTTTACGTTTACCCGTATATATAGTAAAGGTAAAGGTTTCCCTGCTCAAAAGCCAGTCGAGTCCGACTCTAGGGTTGCGGTGCTCATCTCCGTTTCAAAGCCAAAGAGCCAGTGCTGTCTGAAGACGTTTCCGTGGTCATGTGGCCGCCTGGCTGGCATGACTAAACACCAAGGCGCACGGAACGCTGTTCCCTTCCCACCGAAGTGGTACCTATTTATCGACTTGCAATTTCTTTCTTTCAAACGGCTAGGTT